GTAAGGGGATAAACTGATATCCCTCCCGTTTTCCTTCCAATCAACTGATTGAGTTGCACAAAAGTCAAATCTTTTGTCCCCATCTCCAGTAATGATTGACTGTCAAAAGACATTTTAATAACCAGAGTTAGAATTTCAATATAGTAAGAAGCAAAACATTCGCTGTTGTAGCTGACAAAATACTGAAAAAATCACAAGAAAGATTAAATCATACCAGAAAAGTGGTACTAGAGGAAGAAGCTCATGTTTCAGCGAACCCATATCAAAGACTACTTCAGCGTAGATAATGTCATTTGTGAAAAGGTCATGCCGCAAGACTTTCACACCATTAATATCTCCAACCTATTGTTTAAAACTTTGTATCAGTAAAATTCACTAGCTCAGGATATGTAAGGAAATAGAACAAAAGCAAAGGATAGTGAAATGATTACCTCAGTGGGAACATAAGTAGGTTCTTTGGGAATGTCACTCAAGCTCAAACTTGGGACACATCTCAGCGCTTCAGGAGGGTCAGGAGTTTCTTGTTTCAATCTCAGCTCCTCAGTCGCACGAGCTAGCTCTGCAAGATCTTCTTCTGTCATACTTGCTTTCACTTTTTCCAGGATATTTTTCTCTTCCACTTCCTCTTGGGTAGCTTTTTCGGGATCAGGCTGATAAAACTAGTTATTAGCACAGAGCTAAAGAAACTTTAAATGGCAACGAGAAACTTGTAAACGAAGAATACCTGCATCTCTATGGTAACACGATGCGAGTTGTTCAAAATAAACTGCTCTATCAGTGGGGAAAAGACAGCCTTGGACCCTTCCTCAGCTATTCTGGTTTTCAGGGCCTTCAATGGTTCCGTATACTTTAATGGCTCAAAAGGATCCATATCGTATATCCATTTTGCCTAAACAGCCAATAATCAAATAAGGAGTTATACTTAAGTAGACAGAGTGAAGACACAAAAGCATAAAAGGCATATAAACATACAACAGATTGGAGCATAAGTGATAAACCACGAGGGAAAGATCCTGTGTTGTTTTCCCTCAGAGAAAACTCAATTGTATTCATGGATGCCTCCACAGCATCATTGTCAAACCCTTCTTCTGCTAACTTTTTCAGAGTAGTCATGATTAACTCTTCAACCATTTGAACATTATCTTCAGACACACCTTTCATACCAACACTGAACTGGGGCTGTAAAAGTTCGTCTGACATTCCACTACTGACAAGAGCTTCTCCTAAACCGCTTTCCAATAAGATTTTTCTAAGCGGTGAAGCAGGAGTCCCTAGCATAAGATGATCCAAGAACCCAAGTGCGAGTTGAGTTTCCAAGTCCAAGGGCTTCTCAGACAATAGCCAGTTAACGCACAACATGTTCTTCTTCTTAAGGTCACCATCTCGACCGGCTGGATATTTCTCAACTACTCTGATAGGCTCAGAGAATAACTTTTGAGTTTCAATCTTTGAACTATCTCGAGATGGACTTTCTTCGAACAAGTCCAAGTATTCTGCAAATATAAAAAAGGCGGAGATAAGATGTACCTCAAAATCGACATAGAAGACAAACTTAATATAATAAGAGGATAATTTCAGATAAAAGGAGAGATCACTCTTTACCACTCAAGACACGAAGGCGATGAAGTGGATCATCATCTCCATAGAACCAGATCCTTGCATTGCTTGGATGATAGAACTTTTTGTGGAACTCCTACAGTTTTCCCATAACAAGAAATATATTTACTATGCATCAGAAGTTATACATACGACCAAACGCCTGAAGCTACTAGCCTAATAATTTGAGTTTCAACAAACCTTGAATTCCTCGAATGTCAAGTTAGGGATATCTTTTGGATCACCTCCACTGTCAACACCATATGTATTTTCTGGGGATAAGGCCTAATAAAAGTGAAAACAGTAGCAGGTGATTTCATCAGAATATTTAAGAAGGTTTTCATGACCAAGTGTCGGCATTGTCAAGAAAGATAAGTTTATATCTACAATGGGCGCTAGACCATTTAGTTGATTTATAAGATCAAAAACCAACATAGGATTGACCTTCAGCTTCAGAATCTCTAGAACTTCAAATCCAATATAAACTTATAATCAGGTGGATTTAGAAAACATCCAAGAAGAAGAACCGGTTGCACACAATCTTAAAAGATCCATTAGTCCCCACTAGAAAAATCTACTTTTAGAGTTTTCTCGCTAAGCTGTCAGTTATGCAGTAAACAAAACCAAAAACTTGCCTGTTGAGCAATTCGCCCTAAGATATTGTCAGGCTGTGAATAGACACCTTTCATCTCATTAAAAACAACACCTGAAATCAAGCATCAACGATGAGATAGGATGAGTGCGTATATGAAGTAGTAGATAAACAAAAAGATACAAAGACACTGAAAGAAGAAAAAAGGAAAGAACTCTAAAATGGCATTCTTTGTAAATCTAACCTTTGTAAGATATGTCTTCTGAGGGGTCATTAAGCTCATAGTGCCAGCCCTCTTGCTGAAAAGTGTGAACGTCATCCACACACTTGGGGAAGAAGACAGCATCCAAATACACATCGACAAGATTGTAAAAATCCTACAATAGACAATGGTGAAATGTGATCAGACAAAAACTTAGATAACAATAAGACTAAGTAATTCATATTTGGGTAACTGTACCTTTGTATTTGTGGAAGCAACTGGGTAACAAGTCCTATCAGGATATGTGAATGCATTGAGAAAAGTATGCAAACTTCCCTTAAGCAGTTCAACAAATGGCTCTTTAAGTGGGTACTTTCTTGACCCACATAGAACACTATGTTCCAGTATGTGTGGAATGCCAGTAGAATCCTTCCTGCATTAACAACGAAACCATGATCTCAAAAACGCTTCCCTTACAAGTATTGCAAGCCATAAGTTAAGATCCAATATCAAAATTGTGTATTGAACTTACGGAGGAGTCCTTAAAACAATGCCGAACACCTTGTTCTCATCCTCATTTGACACAGACATGATCTCGCAACCGGTTTTCTTGTGTTTGAAAAGAATAGCCTTTGATTTACACTCTGAGATGAATTCTTCAGACACTTTCTCAAATCCAAGCTTCTCAGCCTCGTCTCGGCCTACATCTGAATCCCAAAAAACAGAGGCAAAACCACGCATTACACATATGCTCCGTTTGATTATACAAAGATTAACAATATATTCCAAAGCATAAAAACCCAAATTTCACAAGTGGGACAAAGCAGACATTTCTGAATGTGAAATTGGGTGGTTCGAGTTCGACATCATCAACTAAACACGTTTATCAAAGAGAAACTATTTGAATCTCAACGAAGAGAAGAAACCATCCAAGAATCGAATTTTAAAAAGATAAAAGTGAAAATCCCGACCTGGATAAGATGGTGCGGGTTGTGTGGCGACGGCGCGAGCACAAAGGCGAGACAACTGCCCATTGACACCGCGACCTGCGACGGAGGGAACCCTCAAGCCTCGTCGGAGAAGGAGACGACTTCCGGCGGCTGAAGGAGGGGAAATCCGGCGAAGGTTGCGAGCGGGGGCTCGGAAAGCGGCAGCAGACGATGACAGGTAAGAGCGAGGAAACTGGCGGAAGAAGCGAAAGAAGAGAGAAGTCGAGCTGAGAGAACCGGAACAAGATACAGTTCGGAGCATGGCTACCGGAAAAATATTTCCCGGCGAAGACTGCTACTGTCGGAGACGAAATAAGGAGGATATGCTAATAAACCCAACGGCAAGAGTTTTTATTTTCTTTTATCTTATGAGTGAGGAAAAGGTAAAATAAAAATGTATCTTTTCTTGTACAACACACAAAATTATTAAAAAAATATTCTCAATTTATATTTTCAGTGCTATTGTTTCTGAATCTCTTTAATTTGGACGCAATTTTAAGTCGGGACAAAAAAAAAGAGTTATCGATTTTTTTCTTTCTTTTTGAACAATACAAAAAAGAGGTATCGATTTGCAAGAAAGGAAACGTGGTTCTTGTATAGCCAAATGTGTTTTGATTGTTGCGACTTGCTATCCTCCAACAATATTATGACCAGAAAATATCTGCTATTTCTTGATGATTTTTTTTTAAAACGATTTGATTAAAATGATTTTTGTTTTTCTTTATATTAAAAATTTAAAATGTTCTAATATGATGAGTTTACATCTTTACATTAGACTTAAGAGGGTTTTTGGAGATGAATTTGCATAATTAGAAAAGATGATCGAATTATTAGATTTATAAAGAGTTATTGTTAGATTTGCATAGAGTTTGTATATTTTAAAAAATCTATTTAAAAATCTATCCAAATATTTTACTATAATGATTTTAAAAATTTAAAAGTTATAGGTAATATTTTGAAAGTTTTGTTTCATGAGTTAAATTGTTTAAAATCTATGTCCAAATAACAAGGATTTTAATGGATTAATAAAATCATTAGAACACAAACTTTTTAAATAACAATAAATTTTGTATGAAATTTAAAAATCATAGTAACAATGAAATTTAGTAAGATTGTCAGAATTTATAAACCAACAACAACAAATTCTAAAAATAATTAAAATTCCTTGAAATTCATCTCCCAATAAACCCCACTTACATAATTTTGTGTATTTTATTCAGTTATATTCACCAAAAAAAATATAAAACAAGAAGAACTGATCAGTTTTTTTTTTTTTTTTTTCTGGCACATTAATTAAGAGGCGAAAGTTAGACACTGAAAAAGAGTCTGAAAGGCCCATGCCAAGTCCAGAGACGACCCAGTAACGTCGATTAATCCACGTCACTTGACCACGTCCCGTCTCGTTCTGGATTTACAGTGTCTCTCTTTCGCTCAGCGGGTTACGTTATCGTCACAACTCACACAAGTCGAGAGAAAATCAGTCATCAAAAAGACTTGCGACCAAATTTCCGATTCTCTCTTCCGCCATACATTTCCTCTTGAGAAAATCCAAAACCATGACTCTAGCTTCACTCTTCTCTTCCTACTTCCTCTAGGATTCTTCCTCTGGAGCTCTTCAGAAATGCCAGTGGCCTACACATTTCCAGCTCTTCCTTCTTCTTCTTCTATGCTCTGCGGATTCTCTAATCGCGGCACCAGCATCATCGTAGATCGCCCGGAGGTTCAGATCTCAGGTGTCACCGCCGTGCGTTCTGAATTCGGAGAACTCGACGGTCTTAGTTGCACTTTCCGGCGGTTTCGCCGGGAAGGGCGGAAGAGGTTGAATGCTGCTGGTGCTGGTGGTGGTACCCACGTCGTCGATAATGCGCCGTCTCGTACTTCTTCCCTCGCTGCATCTACCTCTACTATCGAAATCCCGGTTACTTGTTACCAGGTTTTATGCTCTGACTCGCTTTAGTCCTCGGAATCTTTTGCTTCTTTATAACTCGCTCTTCTCTCCCGAATTGGTACCTTACTGTGCCCTCAAGTGCAACTTGGAAGTTGCTTTTCCTTCTAATTCTGGTTGAAATAGAAGTTGAAGTTTGTTAGATTGACAAACTTTTCCTCCAAATTTGTGGGAATTTAGTCTGCGGCGTGTAGAACGAGTTGGGTGTTTTGATTTGGCGAGTTAATCAGAACGTTTGGGAAATTTGTTGTTGTATAATCGTTGATTTTTGCAGTACAGTAATGTAGCGTTTTATTTGTTAGACACTGTTCTAGGATTGCTATACATTTGCTGCTGTTTAATGGTATTGAATTTGCAGCTAATCGGAGTTTCTGATCAAGCTGAGAAAGACGAGGTTGTGAAGTCGGTGATAAATCTGAAAAAATCCGATGCTGAAGAGGGTTATACAATGGAGGCTGCAGTAGCTCGCCAGGTTAAGACCTTTACAGAAGTTTGATTCTGTTTCAAGTGTTCCATAGTACCTGACCATTTTTTCACTATCGAGCCTGTGACAACTAATCTCAATGATTTTAAATGAGCAGGATCTTCTCATGGATGTGAGGGATAAACTTCTTTTCGAACCCGAATATGCTGGTAACGTAAAAGAAAAAGTTGCTCCTAAATCTCCTCTCAGAATTCCGTGGGCATGGTTGCCTGGTGCTCTATGCCTTCTTCAAGAGGTACCACTATTGAGCTGTTATTGTTTTTTCACCCCTGCAAATGTCTAGTACTGCTTCTATCGTCCTGCATTAGTTGGTTTTCTTCTCAGAAATTTTAATGGAATTTTGATTTTTCCCTCTCAAATTTGTGACAATATCTTTTAGCTTTAGATAAAAGGATTTTGGATAGGAGATAACACGGTGATGTAAGCTACTATGCTTCAGGTTGGAGAAGAAAAACTCGTGCTGGATATTGGTCGGGCTGCTCTCAGGCACCTTGATTCGAAGTCATATATTCATGATATATTTTTGTCTATGGCACTTGCTGAGGTAAGATCAATAAACCAGGGATAGGAAGTACTTACCAACTTCTACTTATCTTCTGCTTCTTCTTCTATATTTTCTAATATGGTTGGGTTTTCCATGAAGTGTGCGATCGCCAAGGCTGCTTTCGAGGCTAACAAGGTCTCTCAAGGATTTGAAGCTCTTGCTCGTGCTCAGTCTTTTCTGAAGAGTAAAGTTACTCTTGGGAAACTCGCATTGTTATCTCAGGTAATAGTTGATCATCTGCCTTGTATAAGCGCAGATAAAGCTTATTTGTCTTTACCTTTAGTTCTGTCACCGGCTTGAATCCTTAAAAAGAGCATGAGCATGCCTTATCTAATAATGATAAGGAGCTTCAAAAATACGATGTCCAAAGACATGATCTACCACAGTATCAGGTTTTAAGGAATTTAAGTTGAAACTTTTAGATTGAAGAGTCCTTGGAGGAGCTTGCACCCCCATGCACATTGGATTTATTGGGCCTGCCTCCCTTGCCAGAGAATGCTGAGAGGAGACGAGGTGCTATTGCAGCGCTACGGGAACTTCTCAGACAGGGCCTTGATGTTGAAGCTTCGTGTCAAATTCAAGACTGGCCGTGCTTTTTGAGCCAGGCAATTAGCAGGCTCTTGGCCACAGAGATTATTGATCTTCTTCCATGGGATACTTTGGCCATTACACGGAAGAATAAAAAATCACTTGAATCCCACAATCAAAGAGTGGTAATTGATTTCAATTGTTTCTACATGGTGTTGGTTGCTCATATCGCTGTTGGATTTTCAGGCAAGCAAAATGATATGGTATGTACCTCATTTTCTGTCCTTTGATAAATTTAAACTAATTCGTCCATTTCTTGATAAAGCATAATATTCAGTTTGCTTGTGTAGATTAATAAGGCAAAATCTATATGCGAATGTCTCATAGCATCAGAAGGTGTTGATCTGAAATTTGAGGAAGCTTTTTGCTCATTTCTTCTAAAACAGGTACTTTTTGCCTCACTTTCTTTATTATTTTTCTCGTACCTTAATGTTGTTGCATCTTAAGCACTTCAAATTTACTTGCTTCAAAAGATCCATGCCTTGTACATTTAATTAAGTGCTACTGGACCTACATGTTGGATAGCACAGGGTACCGAGGCAGAGGCCCTTGAAAAACTTAAGCAGCTGGAATCAAATTCAGAGACTGCCGTTCGTAATTCAATCTTGGGCAAAGAGTTGAGAAGTACTTCTGCTGCACCATCATTGGTAAACCTTATGTCTTTTACCTAGAATGTGTCTGTTTGTTGCTAGACTAGAGCGGACGTAATAATTTATTGGGTGATGGTTCTGATCAACTTTAATGGAATATGAGTAGATCTAGGGTTTTAAAGCATTGACTGAAACAATGGAAATAGATATGTTGAGTGGATGGTAGTAAAATTCAGAGAATCTGCTTTGACAGCATTGTGTATGCCTGCCTTTAACTTTCTTTTTTGTTGCTAAAACATACACTTCATCCGAAAAAACATTCCTTTGTTATCCCTTGGGTTCATCACTAAATTTAACTTTGATTGCTTGTACATATGCTTAACTTTATGCATATCTCTTCTTAATTTTATGTATTAGAGATTGAGATCGACCTTCTTACATACTACCTAACAAATTTAACCAGGAAGCGTGGCTAAAGGAGTCTGTGCTTGCTAACTTTCCAGACACAAGGGACTGTTCTCCATCTTTGGTAAGAACCAGGTCACTAAAAGATTCTCTAAACCAGTTCTCCAATTAAGCAGAAACATATTCATATGTACAACTTTATGCAGACCAACTTTTTCCGTGCTGAAAAGAAGTATACAGAAAACAAGAAAATGGGGTCACCTACAATACTTAACCACAAGACGAACCAAAGACCAATTTCCACTATGCAGTTTGGGAACTCGTCACAACATCTTTATGCAGCTGTCGAGCAGTTAGCACCAACAGAGTTGCAGAGCCCAGTGGCACCAGCTAAGAATACTGAAGAAAGCGGTGCCACTATGCCATCGGTTCAGCTGAAGAGGAACCTCGGTAGACAGCAAAATAAAATATGGGATGGTTGGCTCTCTCAGAGCAGTTTTATCAGAAGGTTATCTGCTGTTGCTCTATTGGGCTGCACCGTGTTCGTCTCTCTTAAGCTAACAGGGATGAGGTCTGGTAGATTACAGAGCCTGCCTATATTGTTTCCTGCAAAACCGCACTCGGAATCAGATTCTTTTCTGTTGAAAACAGAGTCTGGGAATTTCAGAAGAAACCTTGCTTCTTCTGTTAATAGAAATGGTATCGTGGGCAACATCAAAACGCTTTTGGACATGTTTAACACGCATCATGGGGAACATCCAGCTGCGTTGTCTCAGTCCTCGTCAGAAGTGCACAAGAGACCAATGGTTACAGAAGACGCCGAAGAGCTTGTGAGACAGTGGGAAAATACAAAGGCTGAAGCTCTTGGACCAACACATCAAGTATATAGTCTCTCCGAAGTCCTTGATGAATCCATGCTTGTCCAGGTTACTGTCTCTAACTTCTACTCTATGTCTTTGCTTCATTAAGTTAATTTACAACAGTTAAACGTCATTGTTTGAGTAGGTCTAGATAAAAATCTAGAAAATGGATTTTGCTATAATGTTTTGCTCATTCATTTTTTTCCGGGTACTGTGAATTTTGCAGTGGCAAACATTGGCACAAACAGCGAAAGATAAATCCTGTTATTGGAGATTCGTTTTGCTTCATCTTGTGATTTTGCAAGCACACATATTCCAGGATGATATTGGTGGTGAGGTTGCAGAAATTGAGGCTCTTCTAGAGGAAGCAGCAGAATTAGTTGACGAATCTCAGCCCAAAAACGCAAAATATTACAGGTAAAACCAAAAAAAAACATGTGCCTTCAGTTTTCTTCTGAACCGAGCGTGTTACTGATGCTTCATTTTTCTTTTTTTTTTTCTTTTTTTCTTGTAGCACTTACAAAATCCGCTATACTCTGAAGAAGCAAGAAGATGGATCGTGGAAATTCTGCCAAAGTGATATTCAGTTACAGAAATAACAGTATCCCCAAATGATAATCTAACTAAAGTTGTATCACCAACTACACAGAACATTGGGATCATTTTAGCCTTTGTTCTGGTTTAGCTGAAGGTCTAGGAAAGTTTCAGGTTTTGTTTCCTTATTCCCTTTAGGTTCAGTGAAAAAAAGTTTCATCCTATTATCATCCAAGTGACTCTCTCTGTAGATTCTTTTGATTTAAATGTGTTTGTGGATAGCCCCCTTTTGAGTTTTCCAATGTAAAGATTTGCCGCTCAAATCAAATGTTATCTTCAAATTTTGTAATCACAAAACAGTTGTTAATTATGAAGCCCATAACCACTTACACAGGATTTTACTGTCGATAATTTGAAATTTCAATTTGTTTGATAAGACGCAATGATTATGACTTTTTATCACAAAAATATATATTTTTTTTTTTTTTTTTTTAAAAAGGAGAAATGAGAGAAGAAACTCAACGGACACTCAAGCGCACTCAAGAGTCAAAGACTTCATTTTTCTTTGTTTCTCTACCACACTGTTTCAGTCTTTCGGAAAGAAAAGAAAAAGAAAAACCCTAGGAAGATGGTGGAATCGGAGCTAAGCTATGAACAGATTCGTTTGAACAGAGTGGAAGAGAACAAGAAGAGGATGAAAGAGCTTAATCTGAGAAAGCTTGCTCAATCTATTCGCGTCTCTTCTTCTCCCAAGCCCTCTCCAGTAACTTCTCCTCTCTCTACCTTTCTCATTTCTTCGTTTCCTTCCATTTTTCAAAAAAAAATTGAAAATGCAGGCTAAGCCGAGGACTCTCCGTTTGCCGGTGGACTTCTCGGAGGTGAGGAGATCAAGCCGTGCGAAGAATCCTCCTCCGAGTTACAGAGAGGTCTTTTCTCCCATTTATCTTCACTTGTGTTGTTTTTTTGTGTGCGTGTGAGATATTGAAATTGTGGGTTTTTCTCAATTTATAGTTTTGATGAGTAAAGAGTCTAAAGACTGAAAAAGGCTCTATTTAAAATGTCTTGCTGTTACCTTTTTCTTTAAAGTATGAAAATCTTATGGCTTTTTGAGTTGTAATTTTTGTCCTTGTCCGCAGATGGGGCTAGAACCTCTGGAAAGGCCAAGAAGGTTTGACCAAGCCACACTCTATTATCAAATATTAACCTCTCCAAAACTATTTTGATGTGAGCATTTTTTTCCAGTAATAATTTCCATGTGTGTTGCCTTGCAGGAGCTATCCAAAAAGAAATTTGCTGAACCGGGTATATGCCTCAGACGAGGCAAGGATGTATGCAATCGACAGGGCAGAGAAGCTTCAGTCAAGCCTAGAACCAGAATTCCCAAGTTTTGTTAAACCAATGCTCCACTCACATGTGACTCAAGGATTTTGGTTGGTATGTGAAATTAAACAGAAATACTATTTATACACTTTGAATGCTGTTTTATGGTAAGCAAAATTGAAGATATTCATAAGTTTTTTGCTGTTTAACTTCATCTTGTAAACAGGGCTTGCCGGTTCATTTCTGCAAGACACATCTGCCGAAACGTGATGAAATGATCACTTTAGTTGATGAAGAAGACGATGAATTTGTGACGAAATACCTTGCTGACAAGAACGGACTTAGCGCAGGCTGGAGAGGTTTCGCCATTGATCATCAGTTAGACGATGGTGATGCTGTTGTGTTTCACCTTATCTCTCCAACGATGTTCAAGGTAAAGGAGGTTTTACTCAGAGATCTTGATTTGTTGAAATATAGACTAATAGAGAGAGTTAAAAGGCACGAGGTTTAGAAATGAGACCCTTTAACATTCATTTTGAAACAACTGCTCTTGTTCAGGTTTATATCATTAGGGTATCTGATGAAGCAAACAATGATTCAGATGGGAATGAAGATAAAGAGAATGACACTGAGTCAGACAAGGAACAAGAAGAAAGTGTTTCAGAAGCTAGGCAGTTGAGAAGCAGTGGTAAAAGGAAAAGAAGAGGTAATAATAATCTCTTAAATCTCTATCTCTTGATAACTTTGATTATATCGAAACTTAAGTTGTGAATTGATGTTTTGCAGGCAGGAAGTAGAGTTTGAAGGTTGGATTGGGATTTCAATGGAAGGAGTAGTGGCTGAACAACTAAAAACTAACTAAACAGATGTTTTGGTTTCTTGAATGAGCAGTGAAGTTATGTGATGTGTATCCCTTTTTGTGTGTCTTGTAATGGAGACAAACATGGAACGTTACGGCTTAATATTTTGGCAGCTACGATGACTTTATATATTATGATTTGGATAAGGTAAAGAGTAACAAACATAAGAAGAATTAAAAGGGAAGTGTCTAACCAAAGTGCGTTTCATCAATCCTAAACCCATTCGAATTTTATAATAATGTGAATGATAAGTAAACCCAATTGATCTTTTGTTTCTTGCTTTGATTTAATCTTGTTGTAATATATATGCTTATGATCTAGTTTAATGCATTATGTATGCTGTCTCATTTCACCTAGGTTGTTAGGTTTTTGGAAACCCTATTTTCGGATTAGCTTGAATTGAGAATCTTCTTTCCATTCTTAATTGTGCATCTCTCCCATTTCCATTGACATATTGAATACTGCCACTGGATGGGGTTTCTCAATATCTCATTGTGTGATAGAGAATGTGTTCTACAGTTCTAATAAAAGGGAAACCTTTGAAGGGTTTGGATATATGGCCTAGGTTAAATAAAGAGTATGTGAACCATAAAATATGGTGTGCAGAAATTGAGATTCAAACACAGCAAAAAGGGGAGATTTGGGGGATGCTAGAATGGTTTGACGTTGTGTCTACAACCAGTGAGCCGTTTCTTTTAGAGCATGCTCTTACTACTACGGTACTACCATTTGATCGTGATCATGTAAAGTTGTGAACACTGAACCATTCACTTATCTAATATCACTTTGTTTTGACTTTTTTTTTTTTTGATACGATTTAGATTAACGTTAAACAATACCAAGAGGCAAAATAATTGTTAGATACATTTTCCATTTTTTCATACTAATTAAGTGTCTTTAAGGTTTTTTTCACACGAAAACATTTAAATTTTATGTTTTACCTCTAATTTATAACATTATTTAATTTTATCAGTTATTGACCTATAAGAATATGGATAAATCTAAAAAATATATTAAATTTTTGCATTGAAAATGTAAAACGGCACTTATAATTAAACAAAAAAAAATCTAAAACGATAATATGACATGGATTGTTCTATGTGTTAGTGCAATTGGGTTAGGCAATGACGACTTCTACTACTCTCGGTGTGCTCTAATAAGTGTTTTTAGCCTTATACACTATATTAAAAATCATTACTGTTTTAAGTTTTTCAAAATAAAACATGTTTTATTATCAACTTCAAGACATTTCAACCAATAAGAAGTTAATCTCCAGAATTTAAACAGTCAAAATAATAAAAATATATTAATTTTTGCATTGATTTGTGAGAAAGACACTTATTTGTAAACAAAAAAAATCTCTAAAAGACCACTTATTAGAGAACATAGGGAGTAAAAGATTGACAAGTTGTTTTTGATCCCATCAGAAATCAGCATGATCACATCTTGGGATTTTGTTGCAAATGACCTTGTGCATAGAGCTTCTTGTATGACTGAATAAATAGATATGTTCATCTTTGTACATAGGCATGTATGCCACTACTTTTCGTCCTGATTTACCGTCTTGAATTACAAAGGAAATATAGATATGCAGTGGTAGGACATAGATGCTATGGAATTTCAGTTGGTGCTGCACTGAAGTTCGTCCAGCATGAAGCTCCACCAGAACGCTATCATGTCTTTCCTTGGAGCATGCTTATTATTTGTGATTTTGGGCAAAGTAAAAAGATTGCATACATTTTAAATTTTCATAAAATATCTCAAGACGTTGGACCAGACATAATGAGCTCTTCATACCCACGAATGAAGAAATCTATGGCCAGATCTTCATCCCCACAGGAGAAGAAGAAAGCCGTGACCGGATCTTCATCCTCACAGGAGAAGAAGAAAGCCATGGCAGGATCTTCATCCCCACATGAGAAGCTGGTCATCACTCTTTGGGATATTGAAAGCACTCCACTCCCTCAAAGTTATCCAGTTATTAAGTTGAAAGAGAACATTGAAAAGTCTGAAGTATTACGATAAAAACATGGTTTTGCATAAGCTAATTGCCTATGGACATTCGTTGGGATCCACATATAAGAGGGTGCCAAACAACGAAGATGATTTGCCATGTGATACTAACAAATGCCGTAACTATGCAGCATCACATAAGGGAACACTCAAGGTAAAAGAAAATATATTCATCACTTGATCGTGATCATGTAAAGTTGTGATCAAATGGTACTAGTACTACCATTTGACCGTGATCATGTACAGTTGTGAACACTGAACCAACCATTCACTTATCTAATATCATTTTGTTTTGAGTATTTATCTTTTTGGATAACGTTGAGATTAACATTAAACAATACCAAGAGGCAAAATAATTGTTAGATACATTATCCATTTTTTTCATACCGCCTTATTTTCCAAAACGCTATCATGATGTCTTTGCTTGGAGCATGCTTATTATTTGTGATTTTGGGTACAGGACAAAAATTGTACACATTTTAAATTTGCATAAAATATCTCGAAGACGTTGGACCAGATCCTAACGATGAGTTTTAGTTTGCTTACAACAAGCTCATTTTGTAGATAACTCAAGAAAAACACAGCAATTAAATATCATAATTCTTTATGTTTCATTTGTTAAAGATTATCTCATTTTAGAACGAAAAGAGATTTTGTTAAAGATTATCATCTTTTGTTCAAGTTTCTTATGTTGAACTTAGAAAAAGGCTCAATTTAAATTTTAAATTACTTATAAATTTTTCTAAAATGCAGTTATATAGTAATGAGTCTACTTTTGGAATAATCAGAGCTTGATGTTGCCTTTTTTAAACTATGAGGTCTTCTGGCTTTTGATTTAATTTTACATCTTTGTTCGCAGATTAGGCTAGAACCTCTGAAAAGGCCAAGAAGATTGACCAATCCATACTCTATATCAAATCATAACTTCTCTAAAACTATTGGATGTGATTTTTTTTTTCAAGTAAATTATATGTGTGTTGAAGCTTTAGTCAAGCCTAGAACCAGAATTCCCAAGTTTTGTTCAACCAATGCTCCTTTCACACGTGACTAAAGGATTTTGGTTGGTATGTGAAATTAAGTAAAATTGAATGATGGTCTATATTAAGTAAAATTGAAGATTTTATATGTTTCTTGCTGTTTAACTTCATTTGTAAACATGGCTTGTCGGTTCATTTTTGCAAGACACATCTACCAAAACGTGATGAAACGATCACTTTAGTTGATGAAGAAGATGATGAATTTGTGACAAAATACATTGCTGACAAGAACGGACTTAAAGCAGACTGGAGAGGTTTCGCCACCGATCATCAGCTAGACTATGGAGATGCCGTTGTGTTTCACCTCATCTCCCCAACAATGTTCAAGGTAAAGGAGGTTTTACTTAGTGATCTTGAATTGCTGAAATATAGACTAGTAGAGGAAAAGGCATGAGGTTTTGAAATGAGACTCTTTAACATTCATGTTGAAACACAATGCTTGTTCAGGTTTATATCATTAAGATATATGATGAAGTGAACAATGATTCAGATGGTAATGAAGATAAAAGAGAATGATACTGAGTCAGACAAGAACAAGAAGACAAGGTGTCAGAAGCTAGACAGTTGAGAAGCAGTGGTAAAAAGAAAAGAGGAGGTAATAATAATCTCCTATATCCCAATCTCTTGTTATAACTTTGATTAGATCAAAACTTAAGTTGTGGATTTGATGTGTTGCAGGCAGGAAGTAGAGTTTGAATATTGGATTGGGACTTCAATGGAAGGAGTAGTGGCTGAACAAACTAAAAACTAACAAAACACCTGTTTTGGTTTCTTGAATGAGCAGTGAAGTTAGATCTCACTAGATCTACTTTCATTGAAGTCAGATCTGGAAGTTGTCAAGTCTACTACAGAGTTACTTCCATCACCAGAAGTCTCAGCGCCTCAAAAGTCTCACTTGAGACTGTCGTGGACTTCCACTTGGAAGATCCTGCGAGAGATAAATCTACAATGGCGGACTACAAAGGGAAAAGCATTGCAATGGAGGATGATGACGAACCAATCCAGCTTCCAGAACAAGATAATCTCAATCTCATCCAGGAATATGGCCTGTCCCTTATAAGCAGAGTCATAAATCCCAAGAAACAAGACGTCGAAAAACTGATTGGGTTCATGCCTCAACATTGGGGTTTAGAAGACAGAATAACAGCCATGGATCTGGGTAAAGGAACCTTCCTTTTCAACTTTGAAACAGAGGAGGATCTACAATTAGTTTTGGAGCTAGGCCCCTTCCATTACAACTTCTGGATGTTCGTTTTAGTTCGATGGGAGCCAATAGTCCATGATGACTATCCGTGGGAGATGACATGCTGGACACAACTCTCGGGCATTCCTCTCCACCTGTGGACTGAAACCAACATGCGGAGCATAGGAGAAAAGCTGGGCCATATCCTTGAGATTAATGTCGATGAGGGTAAAATACTTCTCACCATTGATAGTAGGAAGCCACTAAAGTTTACAAGAAAGATTAGATGCCACAATGGAGATGAGACAACAATCCAGATCAAATATGAGAGACTTTTCAAATTCTGCTCCCACTGTGGACTCATGTCTCACGAAGTCTCATCTTGTTCCATCCGAGAGGATGAAATCAATACTCAGAGACAAACTCCCCGGACCGGAATCTTCTCTCGACTTCAAGTTGGACCTCAACAGACCAACAACCACAATGACCGTCACTTGGAACGGCAAGATGAACGCCATGGCGATCATCCCAAAGGTACGCTCAGGCCAAGACACAATGAAGGGGACAGATACCCCAACAAAACCTTGATGGAGAGACAGACAAAACGGACCATCCCCTATTCCAAGGACAACGATAGAAGAGGAGATTTGGTCCATCGATCAAGATACTCCATAAGAGAGAACCGGGGAGGCAACTCTTACCACAGGGAAGCAAACTTCAGGGACACATACAGAGAAACATATCCCAAAGAGATCAGAACACAACATGGATATCCTTACCGTCGTAAGGAATTTGAGGACCACCGCTCCACCTGGATCAAACGACCACGACCAGAAGGAACTAATGCGGAGGAGGCTAAAGAAAGACACCAGAGCACTAACAAAGGAGTAGAAAGAGACGCAGATCATCAAAGAGAGAAAGTCCAACCGCTGAAAAGCCATCACTCCAAAGCTCTTCCCACCGATAAGGAAACAAATAAAAAAGATGGGATCTCAGAGGAAGTCCAGTCTCACCGTTGTGAGCTTGAAACGAACATAATCCCACAAACCATTCCAGAGACTAATCAAGACACCCCAACAGTTGGGAACCAGTCTCAATCTCCTATGGATGAAGACAATAACCCAAACTCGCCAAACGATGATATCATGATTGGAGCCCTTCAAGAGGAAGGTAGAGAAGACCAAGAACTTAATGAGGAAAATGGAGATAATGAAGACTTTTTAGAAGATGATTTACTAGGTGAAGATCTAGAGCTGCTGGAATCCGAGAAGAAACAATCTTCTAATACTATGAGCGGCTCACATGAGGACAGTCTAAACGAGACCATCACGGCGTTTAAGGCTAAGGTTAAATCAAGAGGGCAAAAGAATCAAGAAGAGACCACAACAGCAAGAAAAACAGCTCCAACAACAAAAAAGACCTCGAGGAACCTGTTTCCAACAGGTAGTCTTATCAAGAAGACTGGAATCCTCCGTAGAGGTTCACCACGCAAGCGTACTGCCTCCAACAACAATCTAACTGCTCCTAAGGAGATCCCACACCCGAGTGTCTCATACCCCTCAAGCAAGATTACTAGAGTCTCAAAAACTCAACCTAATGACAAAGAAGCTGGTTTGGTGGATTCCCAGAAACCACCCAGTTCTCATCCATGAGGACGCTCAGTTGGAACTGTCGAGGGATTGGGGATGACCTCACAGTTCGACGCCTAGAGGAGATGAACAAGAAGTATCATCCTGGTTTATTATTCCTGTCAGAGACAAAGAACAAGAAATCAGTGCTACAAGGCATTCAAGTGGATTTAGGATATGATAGTCTGTTTACCGTCGAGCCTCATGGCTTAAGCGGTGGTTTAGCTTTACTTTGTATGGACGAGTTCCAAGTTAATGTAATATTTTCAAACAATCGTATGATCGATGTAGAAGCAGTTGTTGATGGAAATAAAGTTTTTATCACCTTTGTCTACGGTGATCCTGTTCAAGACCGTAGAGAATTGGTGTGGGAACGTCTTACGCGTTTCGCTATAAACCGTCATGGACCATGGTTTATGATAGGAGATTTCAACGAGATCTCAGGACACCACGAGAAACAAGGAGGAAGAAGAAGATCCGATGCATCTTTCCTCCCTTTCAACCAAATGTTAAACGATTGTGGTATGCTCGAATTTCCCTGTTCCGGAAACCAACTCTCTTGGGTTGGCAGAAGAAATCACTCTCAGGTGCGATGCCGACTCGATCGCGCTATAGGAAATGAAGATTGGCATGACAGCTTCCCTCATTCTAATGTCCAATATCTAAGAATGTGGTGATCAGACCACCGGCCGGTTCTCGCCAACATCCTTAGTAGACCCATACGTCGGAGAAAATCATTCAGATTTGATAAAAGATGGTTTGACAGCGAAGAAATCCCTGCGGTGGTGCAAGATGGCTGGACCTCCTCTCTCCCAACAGACGCTAATATAATGACTAGAATTACAAGCGTAAGACGAGCGCTAGGAAGATGGAGGAGTCAGAATGATCATAATGCCGAAAAGCACATCACGGACCTTAAAGAGAGACTTGACTCCTTATATAGCGATGATGGTGCCACCTCTGAGGAGATATCAGAAGCCACAAAGGATCTCCATGAAGCCTTAAAATCAGAGGAACTTTTCTGGAAACAGAAAAAGCAGGGTCTTATGGCTTCGAGAAGGAGACCGAAACTCAAAATTCTTCCACGCAGCGACCAAACAACGACGGGCAAGAAACCGCATTACCAGACTAATTGATGAACATGGTCAAAGAGAAGAAACAGAGGAAGGAATTGTAGCCATTGCTACAAGGTACTTCCGTGGCCTATTTGAATCCTCTAAACCGGAGGAAATAGAGGATACACTGGCCAAAGTCAAAGTGGTTGTCACTGATAGCATGAACGAAGCCCTCACAAAACCAGTTACGGAGAATGAAGTTAAAATAGCTCTATTCGCAATGCATCCAGAGAAAGCGCCGGGCCCCGACGGCATGACAGCATTGTTCTACCAGAAATTTTGGGACATTCTCAAACAAGACATTACCAAAATGGTTAATGACTTCCTTGTGGAGGGTACCATTGTAGCCGGGATGAATGAGACGAACATCTGCCTTATACCTAAGAAGGACAAACCCCAAGAAATGTCTCAATTCAGACCAATAAGCCTATGTAATGTAAGCTACAAGATAATCTCAAAGCTTCTATGCCAGAGATTAAAAAGGATCTTCCCTAATTTCATATCAGAAACCCAATCGGCCTTTGTCGCGGGGAGACAGATCACAGATAACATCTTGATCGCTCAAGAGTTGTTCCATGCATTGAGAACGAACCCTGGGGGTAGAACTAAGAGAATGGCAATAAAGACCGATATGAGTAAAGCTTATGATAGGGTTGAATGGGAATTTATTGAAGCTGTCATGAGAAAGATGGGGTTTGCGGAGACTTGGATTAGATGGATAATGCGCTGCATTACATCAGTCTCATACCATGTACTCATCAACGGACAGCCCCGAGGTAACATCATACCACAACGAGGATTGCGACAAGGGGATCCTCTGTCCCTTTTTATCTTCATCTTATGTACGGAAGCGCTCATTGCCCTTTTAAACGAGGCGGAAGAAAAAGGTCGGATAACCGGAATGCGAGTGGCAAGAGCTAGTCCGCCGGTATCTCACCTTCTTTTCGCTGACGATAGCCTGTTCTTTTGTAAGGCGGAGCCCCGTGAATGTGATGAAGTGATATCAATCTTACAAAAATATGGAAAAGCCTCGGGTCAGCGTATAAACTTTGATAAGTCTTCATTGCTCTTTGGCAAGAGGATACAAGGAACCAACAAAACACACATTAAAGCCATAACTGGAATCCAAAATGAAGGGGGAATGGGGACCTACCTGGGAATCCCAGAAGACATTAGCGGTTCAAAATGCAAACTCTTTGCATATATTAAGGATTGACTTCAAAATAGGGTGAACGGATGGAAATCAAAGTGGTTATCTAAAGGAGGGAAGGAAATCCTAATCAAATCAGTAGCATTGGCTCTCCCAACCTACGTTATGTCTAGCTTTCTACTCCCGTTGGAAGTATGCGAACAATTTACAAGTGCTATCGCGAGATTTTGGTGGAGCTCAGATACAGAAAAAAGAGGAGTGCACTGGGCCAGCTGGGACAAGATGTGTATCCCTAAAAAAGACGGTGGGACAGGTTTTAGAGCCATTCATGAGTTTAACTTAGCCCTGCTGGCAAAGCAATTATGGAGACTCTTAAGGTTTCCGGATTCACTGCTAGCGAGAGTTTTGAGAGGCAAATACTATCCTTATAGCACACCTCTGAGACTAACCCATGTTGATTCACCGTCATACGGGTGGAGAAGCATCATAGCGGCCAAACCTTTGCTTTCAATGGGGATTGTACAAAAAGTTCACTCTGGACTCAATACAAGAGCTTGGGAAGATCCATGGATCCCTACTATCCCGGCCAGACCCGCAAATGCGCGGATCCCGGTAGTACATCCTAGGATGACAGTGAGCGACTTCATCAACAGAGAGACAAAGGAATGGAATGTGCAAATGTTAGAGGAATACATGAATCCAGAGGACATTCCCCTCATACGAAGTATAGCCATCAATAAAACTTTCCACATGGATAGCTATAGCTAGAGTCACACTAAGAGTGGACTATACACGGTTAAATCAGGATATTGGGTGGCAACAAATCTTCTTACTCCAACAGATGGAGCATATTCGGAGCCAAGTCTCCGGCCATTAAAAGCCCAAGCTTGGAAGTGCATAGCACCTTATAAAATCAAACATTTTCTATGGCAAGTTATTTCGGGTTATCTCGCTGTTACAAAAAACCTAAACCATAGAGGGATGAGTTGCGACAATCATTGTCCGAGATGTGGAGCCCCAGAGGAATCGATCAATCATGCCATTTTTGAATGTCCACCAGCCCTTCAAACATGGGCCCTTGCCCTATCCTTACACCACCAGATATTTTTCCTTCCTCCGGCATATACACGAATATGGACTACCTGTTCTGGAGAAGACCCAATATCGATAATGGAGAAGAGGATTGTGACCCTTTCCCATGGATCATTTGGTTTATCTGGAAGGCCCGGAACGAGAAGCTCTTCCGTGGTATAGATAGAGACCCTCTTGGGACTGTCCGTCACGCAGAAGCTGAATGCCGAGCTTGGCATCAAGCCAACACCAAAGCTCCCCAGCCATCAACGGCAGGGACCCAAGCCAGACGCTTACGAGATGTATGCATTGTAGATGGCTCATGGCACCAAGATCAAACACTTAGTGGTTACGGATGGATTTGGCTTGATTCGGAAGGAAACCAACGTCTTTTAGGCTTGCACAACCAACCGAGACGCATCTCCCCACTCCATACAGAACTAGAAGCACTACTATGGGCCATGCAATGCGTAGCTCAACACTCTAACGCTCAAGCTTTTGGGACGGATTGTCAAGATGTCATTAAGATGATCGAGAAGCCAGAGGATTGGCCAAAGTTCTCAACCGAACTTCAAGAGTTTAGCAGACTTCAGAGCCTCTTTTCTCACTTCTCTTTATCTTTCCTTCCTCGTTCTTTTGTTACCAAAGCCGACCACTTGGCCCGGCAGGCTAGATTGTTCACTAGGCCGCTTTCTTTTTGGTTGTTCTATTCCGGGGTGGGTAACCACACCAACTCTAGTTTGAGTAATAGAATAGCCGTTTGTTGCCAAAAAAAAAAAAGAATGAACAGTGAAGTTATGTGATGGGGGGATCCCTTTCTGTGTCTTGTAATAGAGACAAACATGGAACGTTACGATTTAATATTTTGGCAGCTACGATGACTTTATAGATTATGATTTGGATAAGGGAAAGAGAAATAAACTTAAAGAAGAATTGAAAGGGGAGTCTCGTTTTTAAGAGTGGTGGAAAAATTCGAACCGAACCAAACCAAGTACCGAATATAAATTTTGCGCAATTGAGCCGAAGTAAACGAAATTGATGAAGGTTGAATATATTTTTACCCAAAATTTAACCGAATCAGCAGGATTCAACTCAAACTATACTGAGCCGAAACAACATTTTGTTTCTAGTTCGGATCTTTTCAAAATCCGGCGAAAATAATAAATCCTTACCGAACTTAACCGGAAAACCAAATGACTAGACAAACACATTTTTATGTAATGAAATTTTCACCATGAGCAAACTTGTTTTCAACTTATAATTCTTTGTTTCAGAATTATGTCGATAAAAGCAGGCTTGATTTGATATTACCGCTTCGCAACAGAAAAAGTATTTAGTGGGACATATTAATTTGTTGGGAACATGCGGTTTTACCGCCACAATTTCTTATTCGATCAAGTTAGGCCCAATTAAGATTGAGAACCGGTTTTTCATAACCGGTGACAGACCACCGCCGAAATTTGTACACAGTTTTTATTGTTTTTGCCGGCTTTGAACACAGTAACGTAACGGTTCCGGTTAACAAAGAAAATTAAAATCAAATAAAAAAAGGAAGAGAAAGAGATAGAGAGATAGGGAGAGAGACAGAGAGGGAAAACTGATTCTCCACACGGAAAAGCCAAAGTCTCTCTCTCTCTTACTCACTTTTTTTTTGTTGCTTCTTCCTTCTCTCTCTCTCTCTCCGCAATCATCAACTTCACGTCACCGTCCCCAATTCCCCCGCGAACTCCTAAACCCTAAATTTCCCATCACCCCCAAAAAATTAGGGTCCTTTGACTGGATTCTCTGATCGGCAGGAGGGAACACGATGTTTCCTTGGAACTTTGCTAAATCAGCGGAGGCTGCTTTCTCAAGGTGGGCGGTGAAGAGAGTCGTCAAATTTCTGTTGAAGAAGAAATTGGGTAAACTCATTCTCGGGGATATTGACCTCGATCAGCTCGATATTCAGCTCAGGGATGGCACAATTCAGCTCTCCGACCTTGCTATCAACGTTGACTATTTGAACGACAAGGTTTCTCTCCCACCTTCCTTTTTTTTTTTTTTTTCAAATTACGAAATTGGAAAGTGTTTAGTGTTTAGGTTTGGGACTAGATTTGAGTTTTACAAATTCTGAAGAGTTTCATCTTTCTTCTTTTGAATCCAGTTTGATGCTCCGCTCCTCATAAAGGAAGGTTCAGTCGGATCTTTGTTAGTGAAAATGCCATGGAAGACCAATGGCTGTCAAGTTGAGATAGACGAGCTTGAGCTCGTTCTTGCACCACGTTTGGAGAGTAATGCATCTTCTTCAAACGAAGCCACAACTTCCACTTCCACCTCTAACCGAGAAGATTCAAATAATATTCGTCTTGGACTAGGAAAGCATGAGAACGAGATGTTGGTGACCGCTGCTAACTCTGCCTCTATCGATGTCCATGAAGGCGTGAAGACAGTTGCAAAGATAGTGAAATGGTTTCTTACAAGTTTTCATGTCAAAATCAAGAATTTGATTATAGCATTTGATCCTGATTTTGGCAAAGAACAGAATGAAGCTGGTCCACGGCCAAAACTGGTACTTAGGATGACAGAGATAGAATGTGGGATTTCGGAGGAGCGAGTTTCGACTAATGAAGTTTCCCCTGATAGCTTCCTCGGTATCAATCGACTTGCAAACTGTGTGAAGTTTCAAGGGGCAGTAGTAGAGCTTTTGAATATGGATGATGATGATAATGGCGAAAAAACTTGTGGTGAAAAGACATCAAATGATGTGACTTTGATCATGACAGGGGAAGGAGGTGGCTTTTCAGGGAGTTTGAATTTAAGTATACCTTGGAGGAATGGTTCCTTAGACATTCGCAAGGTGGATGCTGATATGTGTATTGATCCTGTTGAATTACGATTTCAACCGTCTACAATTAGATGGTTCTTACGGTTGTGGAAGACCTTCATAGGTTTCAGATCAGACTGTTGTCCCTCAGTTTCTCATTCTGATTCATCGACGGATTCACCTGTTATACCTATTAATGTAATGGTGACGCCTCCAGCTACATCATCCTTGTCAGGTGGCCAAGAAGTGGAGCCTACACCTGCGTTACAGTTTATACCAGATTGGTTTCCGTCTTCTTTCAGTAAGAAAGAAGAGGATGGAGAAGTAGATATTGGTGCAAGGTATTAAAGATGTTTCTAGCATAAAGTTTCGTTGTCACAAGTCTTTCAATGATACTGTATCTTTTGCTTGACTTATTCTTTTTTATATCTTTTCTCGCAGTCTGGATATGACTTTACCTTAGTGTTTTTACTGAAGTCTCTTATCTGTGTTATCTCTTCTTTGTTCCTACAGTGTGGACCAGTTTTTTGAATGTTTTGATGCAATGAGGAGTTACCAATCGGCTTTTGGAAGCCAGGGAATGTGGAATTGGACATCTTCTGTCTTCACAGCAATCAATGCTGCATCTAGCCTTGCTTCCGGGTCGTTGATTCTTCCTTCTGGTAATAATATTTTCTTGAATTATGTTGCACTAAGCATATTTGTCTGTGCTAGTGCCAAATACATGTTAGCTTTCTTATACGGGTGTTTTGATAATCCTATTATATAGCTCTTTAGGTTTTTTCTTCTGTGTATTCTATTCTTATTCTTCTAACCTAGACACCATCAAGCTTTGTTCTTAAACCAAACCATTAGCTAATAATGCCAAGCAGTATAAGTCGATATAGTAACAAACTTTTTGCACTATCTGTAACTTTTATGTACATAGCCCTTATGTATCTTTTACTATTCATATGATTTGTCCTCAACTGACCATTTCTTCTTCATGTGCAACTATTGTCATCAATATGCAGAACAGAAACACGTTGAAACAAGCTGTAAAGTATCCTTTGCTGGAGTTTCTGTGGTACTATTTTTCCAAGATGAAGAAAATTGGAAGAATGTTTCCACGGGGATTCACTACTTAGGTGTAGAACTCAGAGATATTTCCGTCTCTTTTCAGGTAATTACTTTGATGAGTTGTGTTTCCTCTCCTCATTTGTATCTGTGTCCGAGTTACTTATAACATTCGATAAGGTCAACAGGTAAGCCCTCAGGATATAAGGTTAGAAGGAGAAATAAACAGCATGGAGATCGCTGATTATTTTCAAGCTGGAAATGTTGTTGACACCGCTAATGCTGAATATCAGAGTAGTTTGATTAAAAGTTTACAAGCCAAAATTCAGACTACTCTTCCTCCCTGTGCCTCGTCTGATATGAATTCTGGCTCTGAAAGATTAAGCGAGATAGTCTCCGATGGCTTCCTCTTTTGTAACAAGAGTATTGCAGTCAAGACATTGTTGCTTACAGCTGCAGGAGGCAATGGATTTCAGTTTCTTGTCAATTTTCGGTCATCCAAAGCCAGCTCTAAAGGATCAAACTCATTCTCGTTGAGTTTACCACCTACCACTCTCTGGCTGAACCTTCACTCAGTAGAAATGTTGGTAAATCTTTTCAACGACGTGTCAGAATCTATCCCCATAACCAGTCATGGAAGGAATCAGGTGGCATCCTCTTCTAAATCAGAAAGCTTGCGAGGTACTGTGTTCATCTGCAATGCTCGAGCGATTCTGTGCTTCCCGTTTGAGAACACTTCAGCAATGTTATGTAACTCGCTTGGTGAGGAATTTATTGTCGTCGACTTATCTTCCTCTCTGCCTTCTGACAAGGAAAGGCGTAAGAAAGGAAGTCCTGG